ATTAAGTCACAATTCAACCATTTTATCCATGTTTAAGTCATGTTTATGATCCAAATAAGTGTGTAAAAACACACTTATCAACACCTCTGTAGCTAAAGGAGACAAGTTCAGTTTAAGTTAGTGCCCTAAAAATGACTTGGAAATTAAAGAAATACAGAAGATTCCTTATTCCTTAGCTATAAGGAGTCTGATGTATGCTCAGATTTGTACGTATCCGGATATAGCGTACATTGTTGGGATGCTAGAAGATACTTAAGTAACCCGAGAATGGATCATTGGAAAGCAGCCAAACGGGTCATGCGGTATTTACAGAAAACAAAAGACTACATGCTCACATACAGGAGATCGTCGGTTATTCTGATTTTGGTTTCGCGGGATGCCAAGATAGTAGGAGATCCACTTCAAGCTATATTTACCTGCTTGCTGGAGGTGCTATTTTCTGGAAGAGTGCTAAGCAGACACTCATAGCTACTTTTACCATGGCAACGGAGTTTATAGCATGTTATGAGGTATTAAATCATGGAATATGACTGCGTAATTTTGTCACTGGGCTGCGCAATGTGGACAATGTAGAAAGACCGTTCAAGATATTTTGTGACAATAAATCAGCAGTGCTGTATTCCAATAACAACGGAAACTCGACAAAGTCAAAACATATAGAGATCAAGTTTATGGTTGTTAAAGAAAGAGTTCAGAGTGGACAGGTGTCAATAGAGTATATTGGAGCAAACTCCATGATTGCGGATCCCCTCATTAAGAAATTGATACCCAAGGTCTTTTATGAGCACACTGCTCATATGGGTACAATGTCTCTTGAGGATATTCAGTTTCAGTGAGATTTTGCATTTTTTGTGCTAGACACATATACTGTCATTTTGGATACGGTTTAAAGTTAAAGTTATTTTCGGTTATAAGGTTTATTTGATTTATTATCTCTGAACTTTTTTAAAATGATCCCACTAAGGTATTAAGGTGGATCAGTTGGAAATAGGTATGTTACAGATCACATCACATATAATTTTCATGCTACACATCCATGCTTGATCCATGTCATTCGGTTATATCAATATACGTGACCATTGATGGGTTTAACTACATAAAAGTAGCGAAAGCCGCTTTGATCATATGTTGATATGATTGATGGACAGGATTGTTTGGAGATGCATTCAGTAATGATAGCAAAATTCTGAGTACTCATAAGGTTATGTTTAATGCACAATTATAAGGTGACACATATAGCCCAAGTGGGAGATTGTAAGGATTTTTTAATCTATCAATGAGCTTATATGTGTGAATAATTGTATGTTAAATTAAAGGCTATCGAATTCAGTTAAGCCCAGTTAAAAGTGATCTAATAAAGATTCAATTTTGGGCCGTTATATATCCAATTAAAGTGTGGGTTCAAGTCCTAATTCTATGATGTGCCGAATTAGGTCAAAGGGCATCGTTATATGAATACGGTTATGGTCCCCAAATCACACGTACCTTTTGTTCATTCTATTCTATCTCTCATCGCCAGAGAGAATTACGGGTTGCGTGTAGATTAGGAAGACTATACCGTATGATTCAATTATTGCAAATAACCATGTCTGATTCAGGTACTCTTCTACTATAGTTCTTCAATTTCTTGATGATTTAACATGAAAGATCCGATAATTTAAGATAATAAATTATCCTACAATGAAAGCTAACGAAAAAAAGTACAAAGTACTTCTATCCAAAGTTTGAAATTGTGAACATCAGTCCAGGATCAGTTATACATGTGTCATGCTTGTGAACTTTAAAACAAATGATGATGGTTCTCCACAAAGGCAAATGACGAGTCGAAGTTGCTTCGCAACAAGAGAAGAGGATTTTGCGGAGGTTTCGGTAATTGTGGAGGAGGTTAAGGGCTTTTCGCTAATGTCAATATCTAGTGGTTTTGATAGTTGAAAGGTGGGTGAAAATGGCCGACAGGCTGCGGTGGGGTAGGGCTGAGGTGCGGGAAGAAGGTGAAGTTATTTTGGTGGGTTATTTGTACTTTTTAAAAAGTTTGGGCCTATAGTTGCAATTTATTTTTTCTTTTTCTTTTTTTATTTTATTTAAATAAAAAAGTATATCGGTCATTTTATGTTAAAAAAAATGGTGAAAATGACGTTCAGCGTAAAGAAAGGTGAAAGGTAGGGACGAAAATGTCAAAAAATAAAAGTTATGGATGTTTTCCATAATAAACTTGAAAGATATTGACGTTTTGTGTCAATTATCCTTTGATAGAAAGAGAAAGCAAAATAGACATGGAAGGAAAATTGAAAAACAATAGCTTAAGTGATACAATCTTGTTACTAAATTAAAAGATAAACGATTGTAGTAAATTTGTCCGAGGACGCCTTGAACTTCAAATTAAGTTTTCAAGAAACTCGACCTCCAAAATGATAAAGATGCAAAATAATTTATTCTTCCCCATCATTCAATCATTTCAAAACTATAATAATTTTGAATAAAATTTCATTTAGGGCTTGTTTGAGCCACATTATTTTCAAAAAAAAATATATTCTTCAATTGTAATTTGACATCATTTCAACCACACATTCTTCAATAAAATAATATTACACGTAAATCTAAAATTTTTTCTTATTTTTTAACCACACATTTCCTATTGATTTGACATGAATAATGTATTTTTTTTCTAGAATGTGGCTCAAACATGGACTTAATTGAGAAAAGATGAATCATAGAGACTTCGAATTTTCAAAACCTAGTAATCAACTGCTTCTTGAAGTAGAATAATTTAAATCATATTATTAGAAATGGTGTGATTACTTAAATTTAAATCATATTATTATTATTATTATTATTTAGAGATAAATTGTGGCAATGTAATTTTCAATGATTCATACTATGTAGTTGACAAAGATGATCAACAAATAATTTAGAATTATGTTACAGTATCAAAGAGAGATTGACATAATGTCACATGATATTTTATCATTAAATTGTTTAAAATATAATCAATTTTTTTATCCAATCATATCTGATTAACACCCATTATGTCAAGGTATCTGTTAACATCTTTCTAGCAAAGTAGCTTTACCCATTTATTTAACTAATATTAACCATTACCATCATTGTAATGATAACTTTTCTTGTAATGTAGTCTACGAGAAACATAAGCCCAATCAAACATGCTCGTAGACATTTAATCGCTAAGTCCCTGTTTAGTACCTATTTTCTAAAACTTATTTTTAACCACATATTTAATAGAATTTATAATTTTTATCAACTTATCAATCATATATTTAATCAATTTTTATCATAATCTACTAAAAATCTGATTTTAATCAAACATGGCTAACTTTGGATAGTAGGCGTGATTTTCTTTTGATATTGATGGGGATACTAATTCCTTTGTCTACATATTGATCTTTCTCTTCATGAAAGTTTAGTTTTATAGAATTAGTATGATATGACTTTTGAAAAGTCAAAATTTACGTTTGAGATTAAGAAATTATTTCGAACGTGTTAAGATAATTTTTTAGGAGTACTTTTAAAAAATTAAAAAAAAAATTGACTTAAGGTAGTTTTTTCACAAAGCTCTTATAAAAGTAACCAAACCAACTCATAGTCACCTCTGCTTTAATTCAACCCATTTTCTTAATAACCATACAAAGGCAGAGAAACGGCATAAGAATAAGGGGAGCCAATCAATAGAATAGAATACGTTAAATATCATTTATTAGGAGAAATTAAAAATCTCCCTACCATTTCGGATCGGAGTGCTCGTCTCGATATTATTCGGTGCTCCTCCGCACATTTCCCGACGATCGCCGCCCTTCCTCCACAGTCCGTCCACCAGAAATGGCTCAACATTCACTCTGCGCTTTCTCTCCCGTAATTATTTTATAAATTTAAGGTATTTTCAGTATTCCAGTAAAATATTTCTGTTAAAATTTATTAAAATTATAAGTACTAATCGAAATATTTTTTTGTTTTTTCCATAGGTAATCGGGTGATACAGTTTCTTTAGAAGTGCAATTTGAGGAATTCTTGGTTGGGGGAAGGAAGATCACAAGAAGGGAGGTAGAGCAATGGCTAGACAAGTTGTGCACCATTCCAGGGGAGGCGTTCGGAAGGTGAGATTAGCCGAGTTGGCCGGCGCAACAGCCGCCGAGTGCGCTGCGGTGTGCTGCTGCTGCCCATGTGGGGTAGTGAACCTCCTGGTTTTGGCCATGTACAAGTTGCCGGCAGGGCTGTGCCGTAAGGCGTTGAGACGGAAGCGCCACCGTAGACTGATCAAACAAGGTCTGTTGCCACCGCGGCAGTGCAACTGCGACGACAATAACCTCGAAATCCACCCAACTTCTGGCCCTGTCGCCATGGTAAATGCTCTAGAATCAAACGCAGACAAGGATGTAATTGAGCTAGAGAAGGAAATGTGGGATAAATTTTACAGTGCTGGATTCTGGAGGAGCTCCTCGCAAAGAAGTGAAATGTAGTGGGAAATAACCGTAAAATCAGCAGCTGGTAAAAAATCATCATAATTTAATGAAAAATTAAAGTAACGGACTATTTATTTTATTACCTAATTCTTGTTTTCTCTTGTTATTTTGTACTAAACTTGGCTCAGCCGAACTTGGCTCAGCCGTTGTTTTGTAAAACCTGTTTTGTTAACAGAATTTACTATATTAGTTTTTTTTTTTTTTAATAATAGTTAATTTTTTTATTTGAATTATGTGTTTTTGCTTTGTGGGCTTGAACTCTTTCTAATAATTATTACGTGTTTAGGTTGGATTTGTTTCAAATGATTGATTTGAAGACGAAACAGTAAGGCAATTCTAGAGAAACAAACTGACAGTGATGTCTTAAGGTGCCTAAAGGTTCGTCACATATTTTGAGATTACCAAAAATGTGGGAATTTGGTTGATTAAAGTATACACGCAAGTGTTGGATGTGATATCCTTTTACTGTAAATAATGTTATTTAACATCGGTTTATGTCTCGTTATATGATAAGTTTAATAAAAAATTATTATGTGATTTATTTAATTGTATATTTCATTTAATTACACTTAGTATCATATAAACTGATGTTGTAATAATATTAATCTTTTACTATATGTAAATCATTCTTTCACGTGCTTACTCATTGAATTTGATTAATCTTTTACTATATGTAAACCATTGCTTCACGTGCTTACTCATTGAATTTGATTAATCGTTTACTATACGTAAGTCATTCCTTCACGTGCTTGATGCTAACAAAACAGTAGTACAAGTGTTTCTCATGGGTGAATACCATTTGAGAAAAGATATGACTTCAATAAAGTAGGTGTGCTTCAATCCTACCTTGACACGTTAAAATTATAATTCAAATTTTTTTTCTTCTTATCAATCATTTATTTTTTAATAAAATAATATTACACGTAAACCAATTTTTTTCTTCTTTCTAACCATACAATCCCCCCCCCCCCAAAAAAAGACCACTTTTGCAAAAATTAAAATGACAAATAATGAGGCCAAATGGGGCTCAATTTTGTTCTATCGAATAAAAATATTTTAATTTGATTTTATTAAAGGTAATGCTCTTCTTATGGTCAAAACACAATAACATTAGAAACATCAACGGAATTCCAACGATGAGGAGTGGAATTAGGGCAACAAGTTTTTTTTTCACCTTCTTCTGTACATCTCACATTCCTTTTCCACCCTAACCCGTCTCCTTTCTGCTATATCAAGCCTAATGATTAAAAAATGTTACTAAAATTGATCTCGAAATTCTAGGATATAGTTATGATGATATAAATACTTGATTTTTTAGACCATCACAAAATCACCGAATTAATTGTTCCAATGATCATTGAACTTAGGTTTATGTATTTGATTGGTCACTAAAATTTAAAATGTCGAGTTCTGGTCACTGAACTTAGATCCATGTCTTCGATTGATCCCTGAAATTTAAAATGTCGAGTTTTACCTGCTGAACTTTGAAAAATGTTATACATTATTCACTGTAAACTCGATATTTTTTAAAATTCAACATTTATGTCAATGAGTAACGTACGACATTTTCCAAATTTCAGTGACCAAAATTCGACATTTTAAATTTCAGTGAACAATCGAAAACATAGATCTAAGTTCAATGACCAAAACTCGACATTTTAAATCTCAATGACCAATTTAAAATATGAGCCTAACTTTAGTGACCATTGGAACAATTAATTCCAAAATCACTAGTTTCGGTTGTTTTCTGCTAACGACGTTCACTCTCAGCCCACAATGACATAGAGGAGTAGCAATCGTAGGGTACTCCATCTTCATGTGTTATGGATTTATTGATTATGCGATAATTTTTCCTTTCCCATTGCTACGAAGGAGGTGAACATGTATAGGTTGGTTTTGTCCATCCACCACATATATGTTGTTGGTGTAAAATGCATGATAGTCCAAGGTACATGACGCTATTTCTCTCATATTGGTAATTTATTTCAATAATGCTGTGGCTAGCAGAGTCCAATTTATTTTGGTGGCAAAATCATCCCAATTGATGACTTATCAAGGTTTGGTTGTACTTTGTAATACATCAGTCATTGTCCAAAGGTCCAAATGGTGTTAGTTCAAGAGTGTCTTAACTTTGCTCACAAAGCAAAATGGTCCCCTATTATTTCCCCTGCAAAGATCAATCTCATCTTAACCCCACACCACACATTTTATCTTTTTAAAACTCTCCACTCACATGGAAAAATGACCTGAAATGGCATACAATAGGACACATCATGAAAATAGTTTATTATATATATATATATATATAATAATAGAAATAGATGGATGTGAATTAGGATGAGGAGGAATTTTATATTTCAAACCAAATAAATATAGTGATAAAAAATTGGATCGATAATAAAATTGTGTATGTACGTATGCATTTCGATCAAGATCATGTTTGACGATAAAAGTTGTTATTTTATAAGGTTGAAGATCCAGAAATTGTGTTGACTAAAATTAAATAAGACAACTTATAGTCAAGTAAGTTAGTAGCCACGGGACCTATAGTTGTGTAGACTTTAGGCTACACAATTAGTGAGTCATCGGCTTATAATATAGCAACTCTTTTGCGAAACATGCTCCAAGTCATAATGTTCGTGGGATAAATGGACAGGTAAGTGATCATTTAGGTTTGTATCTACTTTAATTATGCTGTTTAAATTGTAAACATTCAAGTTTTTTTTTGTTCTAGATCCTGAGCAGTCTGGTATGAAATGAACTGATAGAAGCTAAACAAAAATAGCCAAATTGTAACAAATCAAAGTTCAATAACTAAATAAGAATTATGACACAAATTCAGTGACCATATATAGAGGATGGAACTTCTCTACAAGTGTGCAAATATCAATACTTTTAAATAATCAAAATGAATTCTTAGGGTCCAAAATCGCACTGAGCGAAAGTAGTTCTACTGATATGTCATTAGATCTTATATTTAACTCTATCATCGCAAAATATATTGTTTCACTAAAAATATCAAAGTGATAATAGTTCTCAATTGTAGTAACATCACTAGAATGATTAGTGTTATACAAACCTTTTAGATCAGGTGGGCAGCCATGCTGGACTGTAGAATGGAGCACCAAGAAAGGTAGGAGAGTCATATAGGGGATGGACCAATAGAAACCTAAGGCAATCGGATCTCTTCAATATCATTTCTTGAGAAAAAGGATTTTTTACTTCCCCCATAAATTCTTCCCAATCGTCATTTCTCAATTTCCAAAGGAGTTATTTTGTAGTAGAGACAAGCCTCAAAGCAATCAAGATGTCTTGATATCTTTTTCGAAAGTTTTGACAAAGAACATTAGTGATTCTCATACTTTCAAGCATCAAATGCAAGATAAACAAGAACTTAACACTTACCAACTTTTTGTAAGTCGCACAAGCTTCTGCGTGAGATCTATCTTTTGAACAATGGTCACAAATATATTCAAATACCTTGCGAGTTGCACCATACATATCTATTAAGCTCTGTATGAAGTTGTAATGAGAACTTCAACGAATAGCTCCTGACCGTTGCAAATTAACAATTTGATTGACCCTGCTTCCAGATTGACGCTATCGATATCTAGTAGCTAAACATATGTTGAATTGCCTCTCTATGAGAAGTTTGCAACTCAATAACTTAGATTAGGAGAAGTGGTAATAATATTGACAATATTGTTCAAATGAGAAAAAAAGGTTCCAAATATATGGAAATCTTTGAGTATGAACTAGAAAGGTAAAATTTTCGTTAGGCATAACATTGAAAACCAATTGTTTATGTTTAAAAAATTAGAAACTTTGTTTTTAATTAATTATTTAAACAATCATTTATGTTCTTTATGCATGGGCAGATCCAGGGATAGGCTGGGCCGTGCTACAACCCGTCTCTTTGGTCCAAATGTCCATTATAAAAAATTTAAGTAACATTTTTTTTTATGTGTAAATTTTATTTTTTATACGTATTAGCCCGTATTGAATTTTTTCTTGGATCTGCCACTGTCTTTATGTATGTTTGAAAAAAGTTATGTTGTTGCATTATACTTGTCTAGCAGTTACCACTTTGAGGTTGGACTATGGTAGGAGGGACATGATCCATTGTAGGAAAAAATGATATGCTAAGAGGGAGAAGAAGTTTTTAATGATAGTAAGTTTCAACTCCCTCAATTTAATTTTACGAACTTGTTTTCATGGTGATGAGTTCTTCCAAATATTTATGTTACAAAAGTAGAAAATTATAGAGTTCGATGAAAAGCAGGGTTGACCCCGGCCTAAGGCAAATTAGGCCATTGCGTTGGGCCTCATAATTTTGAGGACCTCAAAAAAAATAAAGCCCCAAAAGCTGCCTCTAATTTTCGATTTTTTGATGACCCCTCCAAATAATATCTTCCAAACAAAGCACATTCCAAATAGAAGATTTAAATCAAAAGTAATTCTGTATTACCTTTTTTGACTTGGTACTAATATAGAAACTTTTTCAAAACAAATTTGACCTTACTATCGGAAAGCAAATCTGACATCATTAAATTTTTTTTTTTTTTTTTTGATTAACCACTTTGACAAAGAAAATCGAAAACAAGAACAATTTTCTTTCAGCCACAAAATTGCACCTATTATATTCCTTTACAGAACACAAAATAGGAAGAGATAAAAATTATTATACATTCTCTATGTTAGTAAGAAATATTTAATTTAATATATGAATTTTACATTTACATTCATATATTTAATTCCTCAATGAGCATTTAATAACTCAAACATGTGTTCCTATTTCTTTTGCATCTCAAAATGTGAGAATTTTAAATATTATATTAGTCTAAATCTCGAGTTGTGAGAGGATTTTTATTTTGCTGCTCTATCTCTTGAATTGCATGAAATCTTCATTTTAATATAGATATGATATTTGTTTAAATATTTAAGTAGTGTTACGATCGTAAAAAAAAAAAAAAAACGTTTGAGGACCTCAAAAAATTAATCGTCTATAGCCTCCAAATTTTCGGGCTAGACCTGGTGAAAAGGTAGGAGTGGTGAAGAAGTTTTGTGTTCTTAATTATCTTGGTAACCTTGGAAACTGCAAGAATCCTTGGTACAGTTTAGGCGACTTCAAATTTAGTTGGCTAGATCAAGACGTGCACATATTTTCAATTTGGGATAATTGCAGCTGAGGTACCAAACCTTTCAAACAGTGACAAACTTTCTTTGAACCTTTCAATTATTGCAGTCGTCACCCCCAAACCTTACAAATCATAACAGCCGAGGCCCTAACGAACTTTTCCATTTAATTTGGCATTAGTTGACAAAAAAAAATTAATTAATTATCACCACATTCTAATCAATTTTAAAAGGGAAAATAGTACTTTAACATTTTTCCCATAAAATAATTAAAAACGTAAATCAAAAACAAAAAAAAAAGGAAAAATTATAGCAGTAGTCCTCAATCTTTTCATTTTTTATAGACTTTACACTAATATTCATTTTGTACTGGCAGTGTTTCCTAACTTTTCATAAATATACATC